CATTACTGGAAGTGTCAAAATTAAATACATCCAGCTGTGTCTGAGTCCAGCTGTGCGTGTGTGTGTTACACCTGACACACCGAGCGACACATTCAAAAACATCTGACCTGCAGACACCTTTACATTTTATATTTAGGCATCTGATCTCTTTTCTCACGCTGATTCTGAGGCCACACCTGATCTTCACCCACACACACACACACACACACACACACCACACACACACACACACACACACACACACACACACACACACATCCTGTCCCAGCAGGCTTTGAGGCAGAAACCGCCACCGCCCTCGTCTGTGACGCGTCTTCGTGCAGCTCGTCTTCATCGAGCGACCACATCCTGTGGAAACAGTGAGGGCGAAGATTTTCCACCAGCAGCGGCAGCCAATCAGATCGCAGATACAAAGACAACGATAGATAAAGATTTTTGACACATTTTAAAACAAAACAAAGTTTTACAGTGTGATTAAAAATGAAATGTTCACCTCTTTGACGCTGGTTTTTATATCGATTCATGAAGAATTAACCTCCATTACATGTTAATCAGTTAGAATAAAAGCTTTATAATAACATATTTATCTGTATAGCATCTTTAAAAACAAGCGCAGAGCGTGCTCTGACTAACGAGGGAGTCATGAACCTGAAGGAAACTAAAGAACCGAATCAACGTGGGCGAGAGAAAAAAAAGGTTGAGTCAATATGAAGTCACAACACGAGGACAGAAGGTGTTAACCTTTAGTAATACAAATAAACATCTTTAAAATAATCCCCTGTTGTTTACTAAATACTTTGATAAAGACAGAAATATGATCCATGCAGGACGGCCCGGATCAGAGCACCCTCTGTTTACATTTCTGAAACAACAACAAAACAACATTAAGTAAACAAAGCTTTCAAATGACAGCAGAGACTCAGGTCCTGTTTACTACACCCAGGATCTGATGGTCATGTGACCTGTAGGTCCACCGGGGACCACGAGGGACCACATGAGGGACCACATGAGGGACTACATGAGGGACCACATGAGGGACCACATGAGGGACTACGAGGGACGACATGAGGGACCACATGAGGGACTACGAGGGACCACATGAGGGACCACATGAGGGACTACATGAGGGACCACATGAGGGACCACATGAGGGACTACGAGGGACCATGAGGGACTACATGAGGGACCACGAGGGACAACATGAGGGACCATGAGGGACTACATGAGGGACCACGAGGGACTACATGAGGGACCATTAGGGACTACATGAGGGACCACGAGGGACGACATGAGGGACCACATGAGGGACCACATGAGGGACTACGAGGGACCATGAGGGACTACATGAGGGACCACGAGGGACTACATGAGGGACCATTAGGGACTACATGAGGGACCACGAGGGACGACATGAGGGACCCCTAAGCTGTTTTTCATAAGCTGTAGTCGGTCACTGTATCTGCTGCGCCCCCTTTGATCTCAGACGTGTCGGCCCGCCTGCATGAGGTCGTTTCCTCGTCAGATATATGTTTTGCAGAAAGGCCCGCAGAGACACGCAGAGACTTCATGGCGGCAGTAGAGCAGCTAATAAAGTTTGATTTTGCTCAAACAGCTTTTTCTGTTAGAGGAGTCAAATCCTGAAGCTGGCTGCTCGATCACGTTTCACTTCCTGTGTCCTGACAGCACGTACATGCATGTTCGCACTGTGTCCGTTAAATATGTAACTCTCTGCTCTGTGAATTTCAGTTTCTCATTAAAAACAATATGACATCTAATCATTTATTTTGAAGGTGGACAAACTGAAGAGTGGTGCTTTGTGTCGATTCTGTCGACTCAGATCACAACACTCAAGAGTCTTGCTGTGAGGCAAAAGAAGTTTGTTGACACAGGTCAAAGGTCAACATTTCAGTCACATACTGTATGTGGATACCATTCATGCACCGTTACCTCCCCTCTGTACAAGCTAACGAGCTCTGTTGGGTGAGAAAAGCGAGCGTCAGTGCCGTGTATAGCGTTCATTCGTCCGTCTACGCGAGCGACAGAGAGGAAAATAAAAATGGGGCATCGGGGAAAAAAGCCACTCGGCTTCGCGCTGCATCGCTCGCAGGCAGTGAGGAAACTCCAATAGAAAGCAATAGATTCAGGATGATTTCGTCACTGACGCTCGCTCGTGTCGCGTGCTGTTAGGACAGGCTGTTACTGCGAAGTAGGGCCCGACCGATATGGAATTTTTGGGGCCGATATCGATATATCAGCCGAAATCTTCCTTAGATCTATATTTAGCCTTTATGGATGAATAGATCGGTGGATAGATATACACTATACCAACTTTAATTGAATAAACAGACTTATATCTGCATATTGGAGATAAATGTTACAGACATATCAGTATTGAACTTTGACTCAAGATGCTGTCTTTAAATCTGTGTTGTCCTTTCTACATGTGTCTGTGTGTTTGTGTAGAAACCGGCTGTGTCAATAAGGTGTGAGGTTATGCTTTGATAGCGGCCTTCAGCTCGTCTGCATCGTCAGGTCTTCCTCCCTGTGTTCTCCCTGACTTAGAATCAGCCTGTGCTCATTTCAATAGAAGAGGACATCATTCATTCGTTCTGTGTTTCAGTATCAGAGGAATAAACGGACTCTACTGTTTGTTTTGTGTGAAGGTGAAATCCCCTAAACGGCGTCCTATCATTTATCCTCGCTGCTTAGTGTCTTTGAGGGTTTTTTATTTCTGTTTATATTTATTTTCTTGATGTGCTGATAATTCTGAGAACTTCTTTCTGTTTTCTGCCTGTTAGGATTCTTTGCTAGAAAAATTTTAAAAACATACAAAACATGAAAAGAATCAAACGAAAAATCAAACATATTAAAAAGAAGAACGAGGACACTGAGAGTGTGTCAGTGGAAACCAGGTGGAGTGGAAGTGGGCAGGACTACACACACACACACACACACACACACACACACACACACACACACACACACACACACACACACACACACACACACACACACACACACACACACACACACACACACACACACACAGCTGTGAGTTTCCCTTTGTGGGTGTAGTTTCCGTTCAGTCTTCGTCCTCTTTATGATTCTGTTGCTCTTAGGTGTCAGAATGAGATAATCAGTTATTATGCTCCATTTGAAGAATTTTACAAGAATTTTTAAGGTATAGACCAGTGATACTCAACCTGAGGCTCTTCAGGCTCTTTTAGGTCCTACTTGGAAAAAAAAATCCAAAGTAATTATTTAAAAAAGGGAAATATTGTCAGCAGAAACTATTCTTTGCAAGTCACTGTGTTTACCATATATTTTAGGAAAGAAAGAGGTTTTTTGATTGTGGCTCTTGCAGAAATATTTTTGGGTCAATGTGGCTCTTAAGTCTAACAAGGTGGAGTACCACTGGTAATGACCCTTTTAGGGCCGACGTCACGGTGTGAGCTGGAGGCTAAATGAAGCTAAGCTAGAGGGAAACACAAATCTCCACCCCAGGGAAGAAGGCCACACAGAGGAGTGTTAAAATGTCGTCTTGTTGTGTTGTTGGGTGTCAGAATAGAAGGAGTTAGGCCGTGTCCACCTGCCGTTTTCCCGGGCACAGCCAGCCGTTTGGGAGCAGCTGATTGGCCGTGATCAGGGGGGAAATCAGGCCGACTTCAGAATCAGTCGTACGATTCCAACTGAAATGGTTCAGTGCACGCCGGGCTTTAAGGATGTTCACTCGACATGTTGCTCAGTGCTGTGCTCACGATGGATTCATGTTTACATTAAATGATTCAGTTCTGCCTCCAAACCTGGAGCGAGTGAGGAGGGCTCTGAACAGAAAGGTGAGCTCACCTGACACAGTTTGAGAACGACTTAAGACTAAACGAGCCATTAGAGGATATAAATGTGTCTTATTTATCCCCTTTATTAGTACGATTTCATACGACACTATTTTATAAATATTTAATCGTGGAAAAAGAGTCCACTGTGGAGTGAAATGTAGCGTCTTTCGAAGTGAGCTACGATAAAATCTTCTATATCAACAGATTCACTGAGGTCTCTAGATTCTTGGATCTTCCCCAACGCCAACCAATCACACTCTGACAACATGGCGGTCTGTTTAAACCATTCTGCCTCTCACTCCTCCTGCATCACATCCACTCTGCTGTGAACTTCTCCCTCCACCACTCGACCTTCACCAGCTTCACTCAGCACATTTTATATTCCAGGAGGAATTGTTTGCTTGTTCTGTCTGCAAGATGTCCATATCCTTACATGCAGGATCTGTTCTGCATGTCCCCATGGGGGGGAATAAAAGGTTTGCACTCTCAGAAAGATCTGTGGCATGCTGCACTGATCCTGCTGAGAGCTAAGAGCAGAACCAGCCATCAGTGCTATAAATGGTTCAATCTGTGACGAGAGTATTCCTGACTGAAGTGCTTTTGAAATTGGATGAATTAGTTTTATTATTTTAAACTGCAATAGAGTTCTTATTTCATCTCCATATTTTAACGTATTAGATGGACTTTAAAGTGGACACTTGGCTTTAAGAACTCGTTGCATGTGTTGAGCTAATGATGTGTAAAACGTCAGGTGTCTCCGATGAAATAAATAAGATTGCAGTATCAGATGTTGATGATGAAATATGACAGTGATTATCTTTCCCCCATGTTCAGGCTGTAAAACAAAGTGTATATATTTAAAGTTTTATTGGGTCATTTGTGTGATGGAGGTGTGGTTATATACATTTTCTAGGGTTAGGGTTAGTTAGTCTGAGCTGTGGTAGGGGGGCCCAATGTGAGATCTGTTCATGGGGCCCGGGGGTCCTGGTGGGGCCACTGATGGGATGTGGTAGCAGCAGCAGTAGGAGGCTGGGTCCATAAGTCATTAACGCTACGTGTAAACTACAATGGATTCAATTCAGTTGACCTGATTGAACAGCCTGTGTTGATGTCTGAGAATAATGAGACTATAAAGCTCTTAAACATACAAACACGACACATTCAGTGTTTTATTATTTCAGACTTTATTTCACATCATCACACAGAGAGCAGTTTTAAAAACATTTCTTGAGTTATTTTTTACTAAGGCAGACAATCATTCAAATGTGATATTAACAGAGAGATCAAAAATTCATCAGAAGCAACAAATCTAGTTTTCAAACATCACAGAGACGACATTAGAAGGCTTTGAACGTAAGATTATATAAACAGAGTATCAGGTAATTTGATATTTATACAATTAATTACACATCATACAAATAAAAGACGACATGAAGCCGAAGGTTCGGAGTCTTTCTCTGAATCCAGCAGCTCGCGCTCGAGCGTTTCTCTGTCGGCCGTCTGCAAAGTTTCTGTAAGAAAAAACATCAAAAAGAGATTTTATTGATGTGACTTTGAACAGACTTCCAGAAAGTCATCAACTGACGCCAGATTCCTTTAGTTAAAGGACCAATCAATATTGGAGATGCTTTTGAAAAATGGAGAGAGATTAGAACACATCCACTCTACAAGGACTCATTGAAAACAACTAAAAAATAATTTTGCTGCTCAGAAAAATACGGCAGGTGGACACGTGTCCCTATGGGTGTATTTATATGTGGACAGTGTGTGTGTGTGTGTGTGTGTGTGTGTGTGTGTGTGTGTGTGTTCTGTACTCACACTGACTCATCCACAGTTTGAAGGTCATCAGGACGTTGAAGATGATGGTCTTGATGAAGATCAGCCTGAGGCCAACGACGGTCAGAGACATCAGGTTGACCATCGGGTCTGTACAAAAACAAAACCAGCAGCGTGGTCACAAATAGGAGACGAATCATTGAATAATCAAACATATGATTTAAAGACGAGAGTTTCACACAAACCTCGATTCAAAGGATCTCCACAGTCACCAGAGCCGGCCGCCACTGAAAGAATCAGACACAAAGACTTATTAACCGTCTTTAATGAATCAGTTAGATAGAAATGGTGACAGGAGGAGCGTCGTCGTCATGGTAACAGTTTTATCTGATTCACACTTACATTCATCACATTTTTGTTTTGTGTCTTCAGTTGTTAGGACAGCAACCTGGGTGTACACAGACCCGTCGGATATCCTGACGGCCTCCGTGCCTTTGAAAAGTGTCTCGTTCACTTCGTTGATTTGGGTGAATCCGGTGGCGAGGCACGCCGTCGAGTTGTTTCCCTGCAGTTTGTGGTAAGACGGCGCGTGCTTCTCCCCTGAAAAACACAGAAAGAAACCCCGATTAACACACGTGTGATGCTCGGCGGCCAGATGACCCCGTGTCCAGGTTGTCTGTTTGACACGGCTAATGACTGAAGAGAGGACGTCAGACAAACATCCACAGACGACGTTACTCACAGACACACACTGTGATTAACACACGTCAGGAAACACACACACACCTGAAGCGTCAGAGTGCTGCTTTTAAAATCTAGACCGAATGTTTGATCACAAAACTCAGAGCAACATGTCCTCACAGTTTGAACAAACCTTTGAAAGGTCTGTGTTTTATTTGTTTGATTGTATTTCTTGCTGCTGACCTATTTGAGTTTTGTCCTGTTTGATTCTGATGATTCATCCGTCTTATAAGAAATAAATACTGTCGTTTATTTTTTTGAGAGTTACCGCTGAAAGGTCACTCTACTCTCTTATCACTTAAAAACAAATCGCACGTCTGATTCTGTCTTACTTGACCGTACGTAGAGTTTGGATCCTGTCCCAAAGAAGAGTTTTCTTGCAGCGTCATTCACACCGTGAAAGTTTTCACACCGAGAACCTCAAATTTTTTTGAACTCCAAAGAATATTTCATCATCATCAGCATATAAAACACTGAGACTTCTTTGTGTCCTCACAGTGATTATCAAATTAAACACTTCCCACCCAAATATGGACAGTCTTTACATCCAAAAGGGGAGGAGTTTCCAGACTATGACGTATAATCAGGGCCGTCAGCGTTAACATGTTTTTCAGAATTAAGGTCGGAAAATAAAAGATTGAATATTTTGGTCAGGTTATAGTTCAGCCTGGACACGTTTTTATCGTTGGCTGATTCATGGAGTCTCTAAAGTGGTCGCTACTGAAGGTTACCGGGAAGGTTGTGGCCGTAACCGGGAGATAAAAATCAAACTGCAAATGAATTTAAGTTATTTGTTCTTTTAAAAAGAGGCGTTTTCCTTCTTATCACAGTAATGACGTGGAAAAATAGCCTCTCAGTGGTGGTCTTGATTTAAAATACGGAGTCGGCCCAGTATGACAAGTAAAAATGATCTTGATTCAGAGACGAGACCAAGACCTAATTGGTTGAGCAGTTTGGACCTTCAAGTCAAACGTTTGTCAAACTAAGTTTAAGTATTGTCACGATTATAGACAACTTTTCTTTCCATTCATTTGATTCCCAAATCAACACGCCACTAACAACTTCTCCACATTGTGAAAACGGATTTAAAACGCTTAAATTAACTTTAGTTAACCATTTAAATTAACTTTAGTTAACCAATATGCTTTAATCGCGATTAAATCATAATGCTCACATGCCAGAACTTCTTATGAGTTCATCAGAAATTTAAAATATGACAATGTGTGAAAGTTGACTCGTAACTTCAGAACAATCAACTCACGAAACAGCGTGGTTAGGTGTTGATCTCTCTTTGGCTGAAGAGAACAAAACGAACGCTGACAAACAGAAATGTGCAAACATTAAAGCCCTGATGAAAACACTCTGCAGAGATATCTTTCAAATTGGAGTTTAAAAATGTTTAAAATGGATTTTAAGCTTCTTCAAGTGACTTACGGGTTTGAACTGTCAGCCTCGTGCCGGATCCAAACATCAGTTTGTCGCCTGCGTAATTCACACCGTGTCTCACTTCAGTGCAAAAAACACTGCTGAACAGACCACGAGTGAGTTTTTAATCCATTTTAATGTGTTTGTTTTAGTCAAATTAAACTGAAATTGAAATGACGTCGTTACAAGGTAAACGGTTGATTTTGACAATTGTCAGACCAAATGAGGCGTACAAAGCTTCTCTCCGCCGTCCTTACAAACTGAGTCGGGCAAAGATGGCCTGGTGGTTAGGTCGTGGCCCATATAGACGGAGGCTACAAACCTCCTAACGCGGGTTCAAGTCCAGCTTGTGGCTCCTTTATCGCAATGTCATACCCCACTCTGTCTGCCCGATTTCCAACTCTAAAAGAATCCTGTTACTACACTTTTGAAATACATCAAAGGGTCTAAAAGCAATATTTCACTTCAGTGTTTGGATGGAAAATCTCACTGGGACATCACGTCAAACAGCAACAGAATATTACAAAATACTTATGTATAAATATCAAAGGGTTGAATTATCAGCATTAAAATTACACTGTATGCAGATGACGTCGTTATATACTTCACTATTTTAATTAATAAAAACTGTCAAAATAACTTGGAGAATAAATAAAAACAAGGTTTCTATGTACATTAGGAAGTGTTACTGAGCTTTTTAAACACACTTACATCACCTTTTGCTTTATTTCATGTACTGTTAGAAATACTAAACGTCCTACAAGGGTTTAAAGTTTCATGATATTCAGAAGCAGATTCATCCAGCGTTTGTATTTCTTCATCAGAGGGCTGTTTTTCTTTTTTAATTATTATGAGTTAAGACACATTTGGACTCACCATCTTGGATGATGAGTTTAATTCCTGATCCGAACTGGAGCTTTTGGTAACCACTCGTCGTCACACAATTCACAGAGGCTGATCGATAACTGTGATCAGGTCAAAAAGCTCAAGCAACATTTGTACACATCGTGACCCTGATGAATGACACGTGCCAAAATGGCCGGTCTAATAAAGTTAATCAAGTTGAGCTTTTTGAACTCTTCAAGCCGTTCACTGTCCGTGATGAACCTTGGTAGTTGGTGAAGTTGTGCCAGAAGACTCGACTCTGCTTCTTCAATAACTCTGAACTCTCACAAAGTGTCAAAATTATTATTTATTTAACATCAGAGATCTTTAAATAAATTAATTTATTCTCGTTAGATTTCCCTACGTGAGTTAAATTCTATGTTGATGTAAATGAGCCTAACTCTCAATCTAACTTCTGTTTAAAAGATTTTAAAGAGCGAAGAGAAACTTATCTCGGGAAGGTAAATAAAAAGTTGACTTGTTCCGAGTTTCAGATTAAAATAGTTTTAGGAGCCTCAGAGAAATGTATTAAGACAATGTGATCTTTGTATCCGTCACTTTTTAGTTGTCCGTGTGTTTGGGTGTTGATACTCACTCCTGTTTATTGTTAATTTGGTCCCTTTCCCAAAGATCAGCCTCCTTCCTCCTGTTGAATCAGTCACACAGTGCCGCTACGCAGAACACTAACGTCCCGACAGACTGTTCCGTGAACACAGACTCTTTTTACTCCTTTTTAAACGTGTTTGATTAACATTTTAACATCTTAATTTAAATGGTGATCTCTTTATCTTTAAAATTGCTTATTTGATTGAACTGCACTTTGTGACTTTGTGTAGTCAGAAGACTAGAAAAGAACTCTATAAGCTCAAGTCCATTTACCTTTTGATCACGAGCCGCCCGTTTGGAGGACTACAGCCTCCATGAAGCATAAGCACTAACCACTAGGCCACAGGCTTCCCAATAGAACCAGTTTAATGATAAGTAAAATGTTGTACTGAATATCTGAGGAATGAAAGAACATTTGTTTTAAGCTCGTCTAAATGTTCAACACTTGGATACCTCACGTTTAAAAATTAGAATCTGTGATTTTAAAGATCGGTCAAATAAAAAAAACACGTCTGTTATAAGAGGAGAGGAAAAGGTCAACTCCTGCACACGGACTAAACTGCACCAAAACATCTGCAATGCTTCCAAAACTACAGAATGTCTGATGATTAAAAATTATCCAATTTCAGGTGTCTGGGACTTCTAATTGAGTTGCCATGGTAACAAACAACATTTAGATAAACTAGAATCACATGGACATTTACAAATCGTGAACCTTGACAACCCCATGTTTGTTTGTTTGTTCAAAGGCATTTCAGAAAAGTTAGATCCGGGTTAAAAAGCTGAATTGAATCGTTTCATTTTAACCATCAAATCAAGAACATATCTCACCTGGTTCAACGAAGAGTCTGGAACCAGAACCAAAGATGAGTTTGGTGTTTGAAGACACACTATAGACAGCCCAACGACGAAAACCACAAGGTTTCAAACACTCCAACTACCTCGTCTTTATGTACACAAATCGAAGTTTCCCACGTCATATTTCAGAAGATAAATATTATAAAAATGTTCTTTATCCGAAATAAAGATTCATCTTCTGTTTACGAGTGGCTCCATGACTCAGGGAGTTCAGATACTGACTCACTTATTTTCAGAGATTATTTTACTGGATTAAACGACGACGTTTGGAGCCAGAAACACAAATCATTTATATGAACAACCTGGCAAGTTAGAGCATTAAAATTATGTTTTATGAATCGTGATAATTCGCTGAATTTTAAGTTAATCGCGATTTAATCGCATTTTTAATCGCATGTTTGAAATTTCATTTTTAGGCATTTGACAACTTGCTATTATGCTTTTATTTTGATCTTTGTAATGTCTTACACTGAGTCTAAGTCTTTTTGTAACAGATCCTAAAAGTGTAATGTTTTTATTTAAAGGTGTACAGTTTGATATACAAGCTACCAGTGTCGAACTATATGATTAATACTTAATCTAAATTTATAATGAATCAGAAATCATTTATTTTCAAATGTTACTCACTCAATTCAACTCGGAGCTTTGAGCCCAATCCAAAGAAGATCTTATTCCTGATGCCGTTCACACAGCTCAAAGACCAACGACAGAAACCCTGAGATCCCCTCGATAATTTAAGCACGAACACACATCATTCTATCGCCAGTTTTTGAGCCTAGGGGGAATATTCGACCACGAGTCCATTATTTCTGCACAAATACATAGAATCAAATAAATGTTTCAGTAATAAAGCTTTTAGTAAAAACAGTTTTAACTGAGGTTCAATGTGTTAAACTCAGATTTACTTTAATATTCCTGTAAATAGATCACCCTTTGAAGTATATATGTATAAGTATATAGTCTGCATTATTAATTTCTCGGATATCATTTTTACATTTCATCTATTTCATCAGACGGGTGAATGGGAAGAATAACTCTTTCAAGAAATGCAGAAAAACATTTGAAATTTTTTTGTGAAATTAAACTTACCCAACATTTAACAAGACTTTAAACGGTTTAATATATTTATAATACAACTTAAGAAAAAGAAGAATAAGCTGAAAACAAAGCTTTCCCAGTTAAAATGTTTAGATTTTTAACTTTTTAAGAGACATTTTCTTTTTTTGGCACATAACTGTCGTGTTTTTGTACTCCCCTCGAGTTGTGTCACTACAAAAGGACACCATTAACTACGAGTATGGAAATGTTGCCAATGTTTTTGTGCAATTAAGTCAGCGTGCAGGAGTTTGCCAACAATGTTTGGTCATAAAAGTCATGAAAAGAAATTACCCCACTTTGGGTTTCTAAGACTTTATTTTTGTTGTTGTAGTGTCATTTCATTTTTTTCTAGAATCATATCAAAGTTTTAAATTCTGGTATCATGACGACCCTCGTTATGGACAAATGGTGTTTGTAGATTCAATAAAATGTAAAAATATGTCATAATAATGATTGAACTTACTGTCCTCCACGAACAATTTGACGCCCTCACCAAAAATGAGTTTCCCATATCCCGACCCAGTCACACAGTGTTTGTTCTCGCTACAAAAAGTTCAGCACAACGAACAACAGAGACCAATGCAATCATATCATCTGCAAACAGTCTAACTTTTTACTAACGTACCATGATAACTGAACTAATAAAGGGTCCTGTTGGGTTATAAAGAATTAAGTTTTAAAAACAAAATTGTCAGAGGAAAAATTTTCAGATTCTGAAGATTTCAAGGGAAAATTTCTAATTTTATATGAATTATCAAAAATGTTCCCATCTGGGCACGTAACAGTTGGGTTTTTTGATTCACCTCAAGTTATGTCTTTACAAAATGACACCTTGAATTACGAGTACAGAAATGTTGCTTATTTTTTGTGCAATTTAGTCTTTGTGCAGGAAATTGCCTGCAATGTTTGACAATAAATAACAAGGAAATTACTCCATATTGGGTTTCTAGGACTTCTATTTTTGTTGTCATAGAATCTAAGTATTGATATCTTTTAATTTTAATAGAATTAAATCAAAGTTTGCACATTCTGGTATCATGACGACCTTCGTTATGGACAAATGTTGATGATAGATTTAATAAAATGTAAAAAATATAAGTCATTATAATGATTGAACTTACTGTCCTCCATGAATAATTTGACGCCCTCCCCAAAAATAAATTTCAGATTTGCCATCCCAGTCACACAGTGTTTGTTCTCGCTACAAAAAGTCCAGCACAAGGAACCCAACAGAGACGAATGTAATCAGAATATTACCATCTGGGCACGTAACAGTCGTGTTTTTGGATTCACCTCCAGTTGTGTCACTACAAAAGGACATCTTGAATTATGATAATGTTCTTGGGCAATTAAGTTACAAAGTGCAGGAATTTGCCTCCAATATTTGGTTATAAAAAAAAACAGGAAATTTCTTCTATTTTTGTTGCCAAGAAGTATTAATATCATTTCATTTGAATAGAATCATATCAAAGTTTGAAATTCTGGTATCATGGGACCCTTGTTATGCACAAATGTTGTTAGTGGATTTAATAAAAATGTAAAAAAAACAATTCTAATAATGATTGAACTTACTGTCCTCCATGAACAATTTGACGCCCTCCCCAAAAATAAGTTTCCAGCTTCCCGTCTGAGTCACACAGTGTTTGTTCTCAATACAAAAAGTCCAGCACAATGAACCCAACAGAGACCAATGCAATCACATCATCTGCAAACAGCCTAACTTTATACTAACGTATCATGATAACTGAATTAATAAAGGATTCTGTTGGGTTATAAATAATTATGTTTAAACAGCTTTAACGGATGTTTTCAGGATGTTCGCGAACAAAACTGTCCCAGTAAAAATATTTAGATTCTGAAGTTTTTATGGGAAAATGTGCAATTTTATCTAAATTATTCAAATTTTTTCCATCTGGGCACGTAGCTATCACGTATTTTGATTAATCTTAAATTTTGTCACTACAAAAGGACACCTTAAATTACGAGAAGGGAAATGTTGCTAATGTTTTTGTGCAATTGAGTCAGTGGGCAGGAGTTTGCCTGCAATGTTTGGTCATAAATAACAAGAGATTATCCCATATTGGATTTCTAGGACTTCTATTTTTGTTGTTGTAGTGTCATTTCATTTTAAAATAGAATGATATCAAAGTTTGAAATTCTGGCGACCCTTGTTAAGGACAAATTTTTGTAGATTCAATAAAATGTAAAAATATAAGTCATAATAATGATTGAACTTACTGTCCTCCACGAACAATTTGACGCCCTCCCCAAAAATGAGTTTCCAACCTCCCGCCTGAGTCACACAGTGTTTATTCTCGCTACAAAAAGTCCAGCACAACTAACCCAACAGAGATGTATGCAATCACATCATCTGCAAACAGTTGAACTTTTTACTAATGTACCATAAAAGCTGAACTAATAAAGGGTCCTGTTGGGTTATAAAGAATTGTTTAAAAACAAGTATTTTTGTGTTAACAGTTTTAACTGA